AATATCAAGGCAAGCAATACAAGCATGCGCAAATCATGCCGAGGTTGTACGGCCCGATCCAACAATATTTAAACTGTGCACTGCCAGAGGGTCGAATGGCGCGAACCATAGATGCATCTATTTAACCTACCGAGGCGTTCGGCCCATTCCACAATAGATAACACATTCAAGCAGTCATTCAAGGATTCATCAAGGAGCAATTAGTCAAGAAAAGGCAATTTCCATTTTTACAAATCAAGAAACGATGTCTAGTCAATTAGAAATTCATTTATACGTTCGATATATTTTAAGCATTTTAAATTGTCAACAAGATTGCAAATATTACAAGTAAAGCATGCTTTTGGGTCCTATACTACCCGGACTTAAGCATAATAGTAGCTACGCACGGACTCTCGTCACCTCGTGCGTACATAGCCCCCACAAATAGAAGTATATATCCATTTAATTCACCTACGGGGACAATTCCCTCTTACAAGGTTAGAAAGGAGACTCACCTCGCTCCAAAGTTCCATAACTGTTATTCCATGCCCTTCCGAAAACTCAAATCGATGCACATTGCTCCACGTGCCCGGATTTCGAAATTAACCTCGGGCCCACGTGCCCGGATTTTGAAAATTTTCGAAGATAAAGTCTACCCATAAGCTCACGAACTCAAATATATAATTTACTCCCAATTTCGTGCCCAAAATCGTGGTCAAATTCCAAGAATACCAAATTTCTAGGTCTTTCTTCAAAACCCCAATTTTCACTAATTTGCCATGATCTTCCATGTTAAAATCTAAATATAATCCAAGTAATTAACTTACAATAGGTGGGAATCACTTACCTTGACATGGATGATGAAAATGGAGCTCCAATTCGCTCCTAGGTCGGCTCCCATGGAGGAAATGAGATGAAATGAGCCAAACCCATGTCTTTACACTTATGCACTTCCCAGACGTCTCCTCTTCACATTCGCGAGACCCTCGTCGCGTTCGCGAAGAAGAAAATTCCCAAAAACCATTTTTCAAACTCTTCTCAGACAACCTCTAGTATAATGGTCATAACATTTTACACAAAACTCCAAATGACAAATGGTCTAACTTCTTGAAAACCAAAAACCAAGATCTACAACTTTCATGTTTTGGAAATTTCCCAATTCCTTATAGATTTTGAGATATAAGCTGCCAAAGTCAGCCCTATACAACACAAATTTCTTCTTCATCTTCCCGGACAGCCTGTAGTGTACCAGCCATAACTTTTTGTACACAAATCCAAATTCTAAATGATTTACTTTTATGAAAACTAGACACAAAGAGCTACAACTTTTATTTTTGGATCATCTCTAAATTTCTTGTAGACTGTGAGATATGAGCCTCCGAAGTAAGACCTGCGCAATAGAAATTCTTCTTCTTCGCGAACGGGAGACTCCTTTCGCGAGCGCGAAGAACAAAATCCCAGAAGCCAAATCTTTCTTCGTGAATGCGAGAGGACCCTCCCGGACGCGAAGAACAACACCAGACACCAGCATCAGCAGTTCCAACACAGCCCGAAATGCTCCGAAACACACCCGAGGTCCCCGGGACCCCGTCCAATCACATAACTTAGTCCCCTAACATAACACGGACCTTCTCGAAGCCTCAAATCACATCAAACAATGCTAAAACCATGAATCGCACTCCAATCCAAGCTTAGTGAACTTTATAATTTCAAGCTTCTATATTTGATGCCGAAACCTATCAAATCACGTCCGATTGACCTCAAATTTTTGCACACAAGTCATATTCGACATTACAGACCTAATCCAACTTCCGGAATCGAAATCCGACCCCGATATCAAAAAGTCCACTTCCGGTCAAACTCCTCAAAAACCTTCAAATTTCTATATTTAGCCAAATGGCTCCAAAATGACCCACGAACCTCCGAATTCACTTCCGATCGCGTTCCCAATGCCAGAATCACCATACGGAGCTATTCCCATACTCGAAATCCCAAATGGACATTGATAACACTAAAATGCACTTCAACCCAAACTTATGAAATTCTTCCTAAAATGCTAACTTCCACAATAGGTGCCGAAGTATTCCCGGGCCTTCCAAAACCCGATCCGGACATATGCCCAAGTCCGAAATTATTATACGAACCTGCCGGAACTTCGAATCCCGATTCCGAGGTCGTTTACTCAAAAATCCAATCTTAGTCAATTTTTTCAACTTAAAGCCTCCGAAATGAGAATTCTCTTTCCAAATCAGCTCCGAACTTCCCGAAATTCAATTTCGACCATGCGTACAAGTCATAATACCTGAAGTGGAGGTGCTCATGGCCTCAAACTGCTGCACGACGCGCTAGAGCTCAAAACGACCGGTCGGGTCGTTACAACCCCTACCATATTGTGTAATGTAAATAAGCCTCTATGGTTCCCTCTATTTTAAATCGAAGTCTAATTATTTTTTTTGTAGGATGATGATGCATAAACCAACGCTACTTGCAATCTGGTTCATGTGCTGCACAAGTCGAAAGATTTGTCTTTTGGGTTCTATTAGATTAGAATTTAGTGACCTAGGTCACGTGATGTTTGTATCCTTTTTAGTAAAAACTTTTAGAAGTATTTAGATTTTAGAAGGGTGTAAATATCTAGTACAACAACTTTATGTATTGACCTTTTGCATATATATAATATTCAGTAGTTTATATACATTTGTTAAAAATCTAAAAGCATATATGAATTATGTATATAGCAACAATTCATAAGTTGTCGCTAAAAACATTTCACGAAGCTTATATGCAAAAATTAATGTTGTTGACACAAAGTAACTTATTGTCACAATAACGCTTGTTGCTAAAATTCTTGATAACAAATTAACTAGCAATTCCAGCCATTTATTTTTTTGCAACAACTTATATTGTTGGAAAAATGATTGATTTGTCGTAGCAATTATTGTTGTTGCTGAATGTTTTTATAAACCACAATTATATGCTTTTATAACAACAAAATATAATTTATTGCAACAACAAGATTTGTTGTGATAATTTAGATTTTTGGCAACAACATTGGTTCTTGTTGCATAGATTTTTCGCATCGGAGTTTGCTGTAACAACGTGCAACAACTTATTTTTTGTTGCGAAAAGTTTTTTTCGCAAGAACAACCAACATATTACAACAAAAAATGTCGTTGCAAATTTCATAGTTTCTTGTAGTGTAGGTCGTAGGACTTCAAGGAGGGCGAGGGCTCCTACGCCTGCTTTTCGCCAGTCGGGTATTTCGGTTGGGCCCGCAAACTCCTTTATCAGATCATTTGTGAACTTTCTTTGTGTGATTATTTCTCCATCATGTTTGTACAGTATCTCCAATCCTAGGAAATGTGTAATCTTCCCAGATCCTTTATTTTGAAAGTCTCGTGTAGGAAAGACTTCAATGCCTTGATTTCTTCCAAATTTGTTCCTGTCAAGAGGACATCATCCACATATACTGCTACAAAAATAACTGGCTTACCCTCCTTCTTGTAGAAAAGAGAATAGTCTAGCATAGAATGCACATATCCTTTAGAGCATAGGTCCTCTGTCAACTTAGCATACCACTGTCTACTTGCTTGCTTCAAACCATACAAGGATTTGTTTAACTTACACACCAAGTTCTATTTTTCTACTAATAGTCTTGGTGGTACTTGCATGTACACTTCTTCATTTAGGTCTCCATGTAGAAAAGCATTGTTCACATCAAGTTGAAAAACATCCCAATTCTTCTTTATTGCAATACCAACTAATGCTCTCACAGTAGTCATCTTCACTACTGGAAAGGAAGTCTCGGTGTAGTCAATTCCTGCTTGTTGAGTGTAACCCTTGACAACTAGTCTAGCTTTAAATCTTTCAACACTTCCATCTGCCTTATGTTTGATTTTATATACCCATTTACAGCCTATTGCTTTCTTTCCTGCAGGTAGTGGGACAAGGTCCCACGTATGATTAGAGTAGAGGGCATCAAATTCTTGGTTCATGGCATGTTGCCAAGCAGGTAGAGCTGCTGCTTCTTCATATGACTCAGGTTCACAGTCAATAGAAAGCTTTTCAACCAAATGCTGACTACTACCACTTAGAGCACTTAAGGATATAGGTTGCAAGTAGGGTACATGTGTGTGAAAAGAAAAGGACTGTGAGGGTGAGCTATGATCAATTTCTGTAACTTGTTCTTCAGTGGTATTGAGAGTGGGCACATTGCAAATGTAATCTTTCAAATAACTTGGAGGTTTCAGTGTTCTTTGGGGTCTATTGTGAGTTAGGATTGTGGTATGTTCAGATTGTATTGTGCTTGGTGAATTATCTGAAAGGGATTGTTGTTGATCCTGTGGGTGAAAACTAGGCTCAGGTGATGTGTTGGAGGTTCCATTTGAAGTGGGAGAGCTTTGGTACAGATTCATGAGTGATAGGATTAGTATCATTGCCAAATGAAAGTTCAGGTGACATTAGCTGTTAATGTGGACTCTCACTGTTACTAGTGACAGTAGGATTAGTAACATCAAAATGACTCATACTAGGTCCTATGTGAGGAGAAGGAAAACATAAATGTTCATATTTAGATGCTAAATCAGTGTAGTTTCCATGCAATGCAAATGGAAAGATTGTTTCATGAAAAGTCACATCTCTAAATACATGAATCTTCCTTGTGGCTAGGCTAAGAACCTTGCATCCCTTTGATCCAAAAGGGTATCCTATGAAAATATGTGGAGTTGATCTTCGTTCAAATTTATCTTTGTGAGGTTTTAGGTTTGTAAGAAAGCATAAACATCCAAAACTCCAAAGGTGTGAATAGTTTGGTTTCTTCATGTATAGAACCTCAAAAGGACATCTCCCTTCGAGGGATGAGGATGGCAATCTATTGATCAGGTAGGTAGAAGTTAGGATGCACTCTCCCTATATCTTATAGGTATTTTGGACTGGTACAACAATGCCCTTGCAGTCTCAAGGAGGTACTTATGTTTTCTTTCGACTATACCATTTTGTTGAGGGCTATAAGGACAAGTTTTCTACTGTAAGATCCCTTTGGCTTGGAAAAACATGGTTGTTTCAGTGTTCACAAACTCCAGACCATTGTCAATGCTGATAGTCTTTATTGAGGTATTGAAATGGTTTTGGGCCATTGCGTAGAAAGCTTTTATGACATGTAGGGCATTGCTTTTACTAGTCAAGAGATGTGTCCAAGTACATCTGCTATAGTCATCAACTAGGGTGATAAAATATCTGTGATTGTCATGAGTTGGTGCATGATAAGGGCCCCACATATCCATATGGAGGAGTTCAAATACTTTGGTGGTGGAAGTGGTTCTTTCTGGGAATGGAGATCTATTATGCCTGGCCATAGGACAGATAGAACTCATAAAAGGTTGTTTGCTTGCAAAGGCTATAGGTATGGAATTGATACCCTTCATCTTGATAAAAGGTACATGGCCTAGCCTGTTATGCCACAAGAGATCCACATGATTGTCACCAGGTCTACATGTGCTGCACATTGAATCTATTTTGTTAGAAGAAGTTCTATTGGAATTCAAAGGAACTTGTACACTTTTGTTATCACAAACATGAGGAGGAATGGATTCACTAGGTGCAGAATTACAAAGATGGTGCTGACCGTGTACATTATTGATACTATGACTACCTGAGATGGATGCACTAGGTGCAGATCTGTGTGTGAGTGGTATGATAGAAGAATTGTTCTTTCTTGAATTTGAATAGTAAAGGTAGAGGCTGTCTCTGACTTTACCAATCTCCAGAGGCCTCCTCAGTGAAAGGCCCTGTAGAAAGATACATCAAAACTTAGTGAATATGATGATGCAATCAAGTTGAACTGTCAATGAGTGAATAGAGATCAGATTGAACTTGAAACTAGGTACATATAAGACTCTTTTTAGGGTAAATTGAGGATTGAGAATGACATCTCCAACTATTGTCACTTAAACTTTATATACATTTGGCAAAGAAACTAGGAAAGGATAAACCAGAGTTTTGATGTTACTCAAAGAGGCTTTGTTATATGTCATATAGTTAGTGGCTCCTGAGTCAAGGATCCATGAATCAGCATTCTCTTTAAAACTTTCATAAGACTGTGCACTGGGATCAACAGAAGTGTTACAAGCAGTCATACCTGCAAAGTTAAGAGCACCACCAGTCATGTTGATGTTTCCTGAGTTGTCTCCATTATTTCCACTTTTGAAGCTTTCCAATATGCTCAGCAGTTGTCCATATTGTTCATTGGTTAGTTGCTGGATGGTTCTACCTTGCTCCTGAGAATTTCCCCCTTCATCTGTCAAGGCTGCCCCATTGCCAGCTGTGTCAAATACATTTGCTGCCATTTTTCTTCCCCTATTACCATTGTTGTACTTCATGTTTTGGGGATAACCATGGATTTTGTAACACTTGTCCTTGATGTGTCCTGGTCTCTTGCAGAAATCACAGAATGGCCTAGGTCTATTTCCCATATAACCTCTTCCATGACTGTTGTTCCCACCTGAGGAAGTACAATGTGTTGATTATAATTGGTTTTAAAACTGTTATTTCCTGGGCCATTGGCATTCAGTGGTGTAGATTCAATTACCAACTGTTGATTGTGTGGCCTAACTTCTCTTTGCTTCTCTTATTGTATGAGGATAGAGAAGGCTTGTGCAATGCTTGGAAGAGGATTCATCATCAGTATACTCCCTCTTACAACAGTATACACCTCATTTAACCCCGTCAAAAACTGTACCAGTCTTTTGTCTTGCTCAGTTTTCTGTATACTAGCCTTAGCACCATAGATGCATTGGCAACTGCACTGTGCATGTGCATTTAATGCGTTTAATTCTTCCCATAGTTTCTTTATCTTAGTGTAATAGCCTGTTATATCCAGAGTTCCTTGACTTAGATCATTGATTTTTTTCTGGAGTTGATAGAGTTTTGCACCATTTGTTTGATCATACCTATCTTCTAATTCCTGCCACAACTCCTTTGCATCATTTACATATTGTAAATTGTCCGCTAGGTCTTTTGAAAGAGAATTCAGAATCCACGAAGTCACCATATCATCACATCGTTCCCACTGATCAAAAGTTACATATCCAATTACTAGTTTCTGACACTTCCCTGTTATGAAACCAACCTTATTCTTCACTGAGAGGGATCTAAGTACACCTCTCTTCCATGATCTATATTCTGTGCCATCAAACGGTATACGAACTAACATAGAACCTGCACTCTCCGACGGATGCATGTATAGGGGACTTGAAGTATCTAAAGTGTCTTTGTTTACAGTATCTCCAGCCATTACTTAAACTACAAATCTCAATTGATTTGAACCGTGAATCGAAGACAGGAAACGAGAATTCAACAGAGAAACCTTCGAGAACACTTAAATTTGCTATAATTTATTGCAATCAAATGAGATCACAGCCAAAAATGCAATTTCGAACAGGATTTCACAAGAGAGAAAAGTGATTGACAATTTCGAGATAGACCTAAAACTTCAATTGTGAATTGAAGAGAAAAACGAGACAGGAGATCGCAAGTTACCTCAGTAGATAAAGCCTTGCTCTGATACCATGACAAAATTGAGCATTATCGAAGAGAGTGTTTGAGCTAAAGCTCATCCGCCATGGCTGTGTGCCATGAAGCTCAGAGAGAGAAAGGAGAAGAAGGTTCGAGATCTTTTAGAATGAGAGTAAACATTCTCATTGAATTGAATTAGGAAATGGTAGTGCACCTATACATATATACAAACTACTCACTAACACTAACTAACAATGTAACTAACTACTTACAAAACTAGCCACTTACAAAACTAGTACTAACAGCCTAACTAACTAACTGCAGAAAATATGGCTACTAGTTAAATAATTACTTTCTAAGTTCTAATCTTAACAGAGGATGCATGTGGCAGTGAGATATCTGCAGGAAAGCGGCCAAAAGAGAGTCGTTGCAAAAGGCGACTTGGATCTCAACACTCTACCAGAAAACGGAGACTAACGCCGTTTAATCGTAAGTGAGAGAAGTGCGCATTCGGTGCATTTTAGCCGGTGAAGGTCCTGGAGGTTAAGCTTTTGTTCTTCTTATCGCAAATATAAAGTTTAAAATCTCTTCTTTTTTTTTTAAGAGAATTCTACCAATTTGATTGATTTGAAGTAATAAAAATCTCCATATGCTTCAATATTGCATCAGTATTTTTTTTCTTTAATTTCTTATGTAATAAAACTAAGACTTTTATGGAATCAGACTATCTAATTTTATGCCACTCGATCTCTTAAAATAGTATTTTAACTTAAATAATGATGAACACGACATAAAAATCAATGAGAAAGGAATATAATTGAATCAAAACAATTACAGTATTAAGCAGCAAATGTTCCTGCATTTGCGGATATTTAATCGTGTATCCCTTTTATTTTCTTGTCTACTACCGTCAAACTTCTCTATAACAGTATCGTCCATTCCGAATATTTTTGTATGTTATACCGAAATATTGTTATATATAACATATATTATAATATAACATGAAAATTGGTTCGAAAAAAACTTACCTTTTATAGTGAAGTGTTGTTACATATGAATATTGTTATAGAGAGGTCTGACTGTATTCCTATGTATGCAAATTAAGGTTGCACTATATTTATAGGATCCAACGGCATATATTCAAAAGAGAAAGAAAAAAAAAATGGTTAAAAGTATAGCATAATTACTTTTTCAAAAGTATAGCATAATATCCGTAAAAATTGCACGGGGCGCCTTATTTGGTCGCCCCCATTTAACCTATACCCATATTTTTAAAATTATTTAACCTATACCCTAATTTTAACAACTTCAGACGCCTCATCTTCTTCCTCCTGACCTATGCGTTCGCCAATAGCAGCGCCTAACTTCAGACTCAAATGTCTGAAGTTTATACTTTAGTATCTGAAGTATATACCCCATATGCTTGACAATCTTAGCCAAATATCTGAAGTTCATAACCAAATGTGTGAAGTGTATGTCAAAATATCTGAAGTTTATATCAAAATGATTGAAGTTCATAGAAAAATATCTGAAGTACATAGTTGAACTGAAGTTTTCCCTTGCTTATGAACTGAAGTTTGCGTGATTGCCTTTACAAGTCAGGCCAAATTCAGGCAAAAATATCTGAAGTTTTGCTTTGATAAGGCTACACTTCAGGCAAAAAATTCTGAAGTTCAAACTTCATACATACACAATTGAACTGAAGTTTGACCTTGCTTATGAATGAAGTTTGTGTGATTGCCTTTGCAAGTCAGGCCAAACTTCAGGCAAAAACATCTGAAGTTTTGCTACACTTCAGGCAAAACATTCTGAAGTTCAAATTTCAGACATAAATTTTTGCTATTTCAGGCCCGTATGTCTGAAGTTACGCGAAAAGTGAGTACACTTGGAATTTCTTTTGTAAAACGGATATAAGTTAAAAGATGATCCAAAAACCGAGTATGGAGGTAAATGCCGCCATAATATTTTTCTTTTAGCCTCTTGTGTTGTCTTATGTTTTACTTTTCGCCCAACTTTTTATTGGGTTGGGCCAGTAGTCATGTTATTCTACTAGCTGTATTACATTGGTGGGGGCATAACATCTATTACTCGAGGTGAGAATTCAATAAAGAGAAATTTTCATAAAGAACTATCTTTTAGTGATAATTAGCTATCTATAGATACCATTTGCTATATTACGGATTATATATACGTCTTTTGTTGTTATAAGATGTATTAGATGTATTTAAGCTACTGTATTCATGAATACAGTAGCAAAAATAGGCGTGAATCAGGGAAGTCCAGCTAATCAGTTGTTGTATTCGAGTGTATTCGACTGTATTCATGGCGTGAAACATGGGATTACAGCTGGACAGATTATTGTATTCGACTGTATTCACGGCGTGAAACAGGGGATTACATTGTTTTTAAACGGAAAGTGAATCAATTAACATAATAGACTCCTAATATAACTCAACAAACTCAATTATAACACACAAAATTTGTATTTCCAGTTATAAAAAGGATTCTCAACCGAAAAATACCCAAAAAATATAGCAATCTTCAGAGAAATTATATAATACATTTGAATACATAATTATATTAATTAAAAAAAATATATGAATACATTCATGGCATATAGCGAGACAATGAATACAATGAAATACATAGAATACAACGGGATACATTGAAATACAATAAAAAAAAGACAGTGAATACAATGAAATACATGGAATACAGCGAGATACATTGAATTACAATGAAAAAAAGACAATGAATACAATGAAATACATGAAAATACAGCGTGATACATTGAAAATACATTAAAATATATTAACAGAAATTCAATTTGCTCAACCCCAAATTCTGTCGTCTTTGTTAACCCTAATTTTCGGCGAATCCGCCGTCGAGCAAAACCCTGAATCTCACTGTTCCCACGCATCCTGTACAGTAGTCAAGCAAAAATTATGGCAAGACGTTGCATATCGTTTTCGAGGATTCGTCTCTCCATTCGAGCCATTCTACGTTTATTAAGTGGCGGCGGAAAGCAGTTGAAGACGGCGGAGACTGTAATAAGTGGACGGCGACGACTGTAAGAAGTGGATCTGGGATGAGAATGTGTTCATGACGAAGTGCAATAGAGAGAAATACTAGTAGCAACGGTCTGGAGGGTTCTTAAAAAGGATGGATCTACAAGTTGGACTTAAAGTACAGCCAAATATAAAAATGGGGAGTTAGAGGAATTTGATGGGAAGTTGAAGAAGAAACTGTGGGAGGAATTGTGGAGAATTTTGATCTTTCAGAGAAGAAACTTATGAAAATAGGTGAGAATTTTGATCTTTCAGAGAATGGCGTGTATCAAATTAGAGAGAGATAGAACGTGGAGTGAGAAGTTTACATCAAATACAGTAATGGTGTGAGAGAAAAATCTGAAAAAGGAGAGAGAAAGATAATAAATAGCGTATATAGTGGCTTAGAAGTAGGAGGTACTCAAAATTAGATATTTTGCTATAAACATTAAAAGATATCTATAGAATATAATTGTTTTAAATAGTATTTATTTAAAATAAATAAGGTGTTAACCTTTACTATAGGAGGTAAAAATTCCTTCAATAAATTAGACTAAAATTTGGACCTTTTTTTAAACACATGTATTAATAGCTTAGTTTGCGCGAGAAGGAGTGCAAGAGAAGTTGAAGGAGAAGGAGAAGGAGAGGGATATGTACCTAAAAGGAAAGGAAAATAATACTCCTTCTATAGCTTTAACACTAGTTTCTCCAATTGTGACACCTATCTCAATTATCATAACATGGTAGTACAAAAATTAATCAGTCCTTCAATCCTTCCAAAAAATCTTCTCTGAAGAAAGATCATACTTTCTATTTCAATTTATGTGACCTATTTGATTTGACACGGAGTCTAAGAAAAAAAAACTTTTAAATTTGTGGTATAAAATAAAGCACGTATATTTTGTGGTTATAAATCATTGCATACAGGTAAATTATTTTCAAATATAAAAAATAATCATTCTTTTTGGCATAAACTAAAAAGGAAATGCGTTCATAATACAGAAATACATCTTCCTTTCTAACCTTAGTTCCTTAACTCAGTCATAAGGTTGAATAATATTGTTCAACTGTTGGACTTTAAAGGCTTGGCAAGTTAAGTTCAATTTAGAGAAATTTTCACAAACCACTATTGTTTAGTGGTTATTAGCTAGCTATAGCTATCATTTACTAAATTACTTCCTATAGCTATGTTTTCAGTTGTTATAGAGTGTATTCGATGTATTTAAACTACTGTATTCATGAATACAGTAGCAAAACTCGGCGTAAAACAGGGGAGTCCAGCTAAGCAACGATTGTATTCGACTGTATTCACGAGCTGTATTCGTAAATACAGTAAGGTAAACTGCGTAAAAAATGGTCTTTTCAGTTGTTTAAAAACGGTAAGTGAATCAATTAACGTGATAGACTCCTGATATAACTCAACTAACTCAATTATAACACCCAAAACCTATATTTCACGTTATAGAAATGATTTCCCGGAATAATACCACAAAACAGAGCAATCTCTAGATTTTCAATCCCTCTTTTTTCTACTGTGTAATTTTTAAATGTATTTAGATATATTTGGATGTATTTACATGACTTTCATTGTTGTACTTATGAATGTGTTATGTTTCTCAAATACATGTATTCATCTGTATTTCACTGACAAATAGTAATTACAGTAACTTTCACTGTTTGTTTTTAGATGTATTTAGATGTATGTATATAATTATACTCGTATTCATCAATG